GGGGGGAAGCCATTGTAATCCATAAGTCGTACTTTGGAAATTTATATTCATTAAATAAAAGTTAAAAAAATGCAGAAAAAAAAAGACATCAAACCCCATTAGGCATCTCATAACTATTGATGTTAGGACTGAGTATATTAGCCTTGTTATCTAAGCCAGATCAGTTTCTGTGATGGGATTTAAGTATGATTGGAAGTATTTCTATTTAATATTTAAAGGAGCTGTTGGAGAGTGGCTAATAGTATGACACTATATAACTTTCTGAAGAACAATGAAGGTCCATGAGAAAGGACAGTACTACTTTAGGCCAAGGGAGTTCACAAATCTTTGATAATTTAGTAATAACAGTTCTAATATTCTAAAATTTTGAGAAATATATAGACTCCTAAGTAACATGTGGAATTATATCAAGCTATCTAACATACTCATAATTGTAGTTCCAAAATAGAGAGGAGACATAAAACAAAACAGTAAAATTTGTCAACTTTATTTAAAATATCAAAGTACAGATCTTAGGACCCCAATTATCCCTAATAAAGATAAGACATAATACTAGAAATTTGCTAATTAAATTTATGAAAACAAAAGATAATGGAAAAAATCTTAAAATCAATCAATAGCTACAATGTAGTGAAATAGTATGCTCTGGACTGCCTCTCCCCCCAGCTTCCCAGCACAGACACATTAATTGAACAACACACAAATCAATTGCCCTGTGAGAAATCCAGAGATAAATTGAAATATTCCTGCACACCAGTTGAGGCTGAAACCTATCAAAGCCAGCAGGAAAATGCATAACACTCTCTTGTCATGACCCCTCCCCTGTTACAGTACCATATGACTGGAAGCTCCTAACTCTTGGCTTCTTCCTGGAAGGAGAAGGAGCAGTCTAGGCAACTTGTTCGATAGTCTGACCTTCTAGAGGTGGCCCAAGTGACTAGTATCCGTCTTTCTTGAATCTGAATGTTGAAGGAAAAGGGATCCAGACTAGGGGCTGCTAAGCACAAATGCAGTGGTGTGGAATAATGTGCATGTCCTGGCAATAACACCTTTCCTTGTCTTAATGTACAGTGAGCAAGCAAATCCTCCAGATTCTACTATACCCATGGTAAGGAAAGGGCTTGGAGAGTTCATTCAACATTTTGCCTTTTCATGTGGCCCACCCAATGGACTGGATTTTTTAAATTAATTTATTTTATTTGAAAGGCAGAGTTAGAGAGGCAGAGAGAAAGAGAGAGAGAGAGAGTTCTTCCATCCACCTGTTTGCTCCCCACATGGCCACAACAGCTGGAGCTGGGCTGATCCAAAGCCAGGAGCCAGGAGTTTCTTCCAGATCTCCCACATGGGTGCAGAGGCCCAAGGACTTGGCCACCATTTTTAGTGCTTTCCCAAGCCACAGCAGAAGGCTGGATCAGAAGTGGAGCAGCCAGGACTTGAACCAGCACCCATATGGGATGCCAGCACTATGGGTGGTGCAATTACCCACTATGCCATAGAGCCAGCCCCTGCCCCCCAGGACTGGATATTTTTTTCCCCTGTATCAAAGTGCTGGTGGGTCTAACAAACTCTAGATGTGTGTGGAGTAAGGGAGCTAAGAACAAAGGTGATTGCTGGGACTAGTGTACACTCAGCCACCACAGTCCCTCCACCCTGGACCAGCATGACATAATCAGGAAAACCCAAAGCTCCTGGATTCTCCCTAAAGAAAGAAGACTGAAACTCGAGTCCAAAATTTGGGCATTTGTGGAGGCTGCCTGAGATGCTGGCTTTAGTCTTTCTTGATGGCTGGGTCCTGCTGGCAAAAATAGCAATATAAGACATGGTCAGTGTGCTATTGCTCCAGAGGACCCATATAGTATGACAGATGGACAATAGAGTTAGCAGGAGATTGCAGACTACTGGGGGAAAAGATTGGCAAGTCCTTCTAATTAGGAATTTAGATGCCTAAGTCCAGATAAAATACTTACACAGAAAATATTTGGATGGCCATCAGAAAATCTAGTCAGGGTGATTGGTGAGGGTCTCCTTCTATATGAAGCCAATCCATAAACTATAAGTATGCCCCCTCCTATACTGCTGATTACAAGTGATTCCTTGTCTGTGCACATTTATCCACTCCTGTAGCAACATGCACAGCCTACCCAATACTCCTTGTGTTTGGAGCTGGCTTCACAGAGGTACACAGTTCCACTGGTTCCAATCACAGGGCATGGGCACATGATGCAGAGTGTGACTCATTTTCTGTACAATTTTGTTGGCTTTGTCTGTGTGGTTGTATAAAGGAAAGCCAAGCTTGTCCAGAGCCTCGTTCTGAATGCAGACGATGTAGGAGATGAGGCCCTGGTCTCGGTACTCAGGCACAGTGCCTCCCATCCTCAGCTCTCCAGTGTGGTCCATCAGGGACCAGGACACAGGGCTCCCCTCAGGCCCCAGCAGACAGAAGCTGGGGAAGCTCCGGATACAACGCTCTATGAATCTCTGGCTCTTCTCATTGCCACCAAAATGCCAGAATTTATTTACCAAGGCAGCATGGACAACATCCAGGGATGAACACTTAAACATCTCTTGATTACTGTGGAGAGAAAGAGAAAATGATAGCTTATCATGTCACATATACTGTGAAGGATTCAATTTGTTTTCCCAAAAATTGTTTTAAGAGGAAATGTTAACACAGATCAAAGTCTGGTCTCTGCAGCCAGGTTGTCTGGATTCAAAATCTGATTGACTATGTGATCTTGAGCAGGTAATTCAAGTCTTTTTGTCTCTACTTCCTCTTGCAAAATATGAGAATATTAGCGTCACTTTTGTCAAAAGACAGATATAAATATAAGCCATCGCACTACAAGTATCTAGGAAAATGCCACATGAACAATAATTCCATAATACTCAAGTTCCATTCTTCATATTATGATGAATCATGTAAGATGGGGCAAGTGACATCATGCTCGTTATATAGATGAGAAAAATGGTTAAAAATTAAAATATACAAATGCCCCAAAGTACATGCTAGCAAAAAGAAAAGTCAGAATCACTGTGTCAGAGTGTCCTTGGACCACTGTGTTGAAAAAATGGGAAAGTTGCGCGGCTGAGGGGGCAGTAATGTGGCGTGCAGATGAACTTAGTTAAGGGATGCTAAAGTTTGAAGCCTCCTGCAGTGGGGTAAAGGAGCAACAGGAGACATTTTGGAAAGAGTCCAGGTTGTGGAATTAGGTCTACATTCAAGGCCCAGTTGTGGCCTTAGTCATTCATAGTGATAGAGCCAATTTATCATCAGAGCACGCTTTCCAGCAGCAAAATGAGATAATATCTCTTACCCTATCTATCTCACAAGGTTGACAAGGGAATCCAATGAGATTTAATGTGCTTTACCGTCTAAATAGAAGTCTTCTAGAATTATTAAGAGACTCTAAATATTGAGCTTTCCATATAAATTCTGTCATCAGTTTTCAATTCTACTCAGTCATAGACTAAGCATCAATGGGTGAGAAGAAATTAATCATTTGTTTAAATTTTCTTTACTGGAAAATTTTTTCTCTGTGAAGTTAATTCATTAAATGAATATTTATTAAGCATTTACTATGTGCCAGACACTGTTGTAGATATTGAGGGTCTGTTTGTGAACAATATAGACAGGATCCAGTCTCTGTTGGGTTTGAAATATTGTGAAAAGTATTCAAGCAACAAATACATTATATCAACACACATTATCTGAAAACAGCATGTGAGAAGTGTAATAAAATAAATAAAAATTGGGCTTCATGTTACAGAATTATGGGGAGGGGTGGTTATAGGTAAGATGTTCTGAAAAGAACCATCAAAGGAAATGAAATATGAGAATATTCGGGGTAAAAAGAGAAAAGCATGTGGCAATGGGAGGGAAGGATATTCTATGCATACAAAGAGCAAATGCAATGGTCCAAGACTTGTGGATCTGCGAGAATCAAATGGCACAAAGTGAGCAAGGACAACATGAAGTCCAAGAAGTCCTGAGTGCAGATTTTCTGGAGCTTTCAAGGCCCCAGAGGAGCTTGGATTTTATTCTACGTGAGTGGGAAAACATTTGTGGCTTTTAAGCAGTGATTGGTATAATCCATGTAACACTCTGGAAATTGTCAGAGATTGGGAGACTCCTTTAGTAGTGAAAGAGCCGTGCATAATATATTTTATCAAACTCACATAGCCTGGGCCGGCACCGTGTTTCATTTGATTAATCCTCTGCCTATGGCGCTGGCATCCCATACGGGTGCCGGATTCTGTCCTGGTTGCTCCTCTTCCAGGCCAGCTCTCTGCTGTGGCCCAGGAAGGCAGTGGAGGATGGCCCAAGTGCTTGGGCTCCTGCACCTGCATGGGAGACCAGGAGGAAGCACCTGGCTCCTGGCTTTGGATCAGCATATCTCCGGCTGTAGCGGCCATTTGGAGGGTAATCCAATGGAAGGAAGACCTTTCTTTCTGTCTGTCTCTCTCTCACACTGTCTATTTGTCAAATAAAAAAAATAAAAATAAAAACTCACATAGCCTTGGGTCTGACAGGTTGAGGAGAGAAGTTCATCGTCTCCAGCAGCAAAGGGACCAGTTTCTTTGCTGTGTTAGGCATCATATAAAGAAGACATTGTGTTCTCTTGACCTTGACAGACTTAGCAGATGCAAGATTTTGTATTACTTCATCTAGGCTGCACTGTGTACCTAGAAGGGAGTAAATTAAGGAGAGAATCACCCATTTAGTCACTACAAGTGGCCCAATGGATGTAAGCAACATTAGAGTCAGGCTATTTTGCTGCTTCTGTTGCCATCAACTGTTCGATCACGACCAAGCTGCTCCAAGTATATTTTCTCTTTGGCAAAACAAAATTGTACCAGAAATTCTAGCTATATCACTGTGAAATCCAAGAAGTGGAATTTCAAAAAAAGTAGTCAGTCTTGTCTGTGCCCACACTATATGCCTAGATATCAATCTAAGATATCTCTTAATCCTTACATTAATTCTGCTTTGAATTCTTTTATTATTCTCACATTTATATATGAGGAAACTAAATAATATGTAAGTTAAGTCAATTTTATCAGTATTGCAAAGCAAGTTACAAGCAGAGCAAGGATGACAGCCTTTGGAGTCTGTGCCCATAGTCACAGAAGGTGCTGTCTTTGGTGATCTGAGAGGCACTCTATGGCACAACCAGCTGTCATTATTATCCCAGGAACGCATGGACACAGTTGTCTGAAGCTTTGCTTTGACACACAGTTGTCTGAAGGGGATCCTAAATATGTCTTTAAAATATATCATGAATCTTCACCAACAAGAAATTACATTTCTTGAAGTTCTTTATATGAATGTCCACAGTCTGCACTATTTGAATTCTACTCCACTGAAGAGGTGATGTCAGCCGGTACAGAAATGAGCCCCAGGCTGAGAGCTTGGGGTTTGGCAGAAGGAATTAAAGGCCCCCAGGGAATGTGCTTAGGATGAAAAGTGACCAGGCAGATGTAGACAAAGGAAGTCCCAGCAGCCAGAATACATTCCATCTCCTTACTTTGGATCTGCAAATGTTGCTTCCAGTTGATGATATCTGATGTGGCAAGAAATTCTTGACATTTCTTGGGATCCTTAGAATAGATTTGGTAGGTATTGGTATAGTGATCAAAGTCATCAGTCATCTCCTGTTTGAGAAACATGAAATAAATCAAATTGCTTGTAGCAAGTGATTGCAATATCGTTGCTTAGTATTCATTGCACTATTTCTTTATAAAGCTAAATATGGATATTTTTCTGATGTATTAACATTGTCTCTGAATCATGTACATCATGAAATCAAATCAGGGACTCTAGTCAGCTCATTATAAAGAAAAAATTACTGAACCAAACATTTATATGCTGCATTACAATTTCAAATTGTCACTCCATGGATACTTAGGTCGCTTCCATATTTTGGCTATTGTGAATAATGCTGCAATAAATATAGGAGCTCAGACATCTTTACAAAGTGGTGATATTGTTTTCTTCAGGTATATGCCTGGAAGAAGAATCACTGGATCACACGGTAGTTCTATTTTTAATTTCTCTAGAAATCTCCATACTGCTTTCTATATTAGCTACACCAATCCACATTCCCTCTATCATTGTACAAGGGTTCCCTTTTCTCCAAACACTCAGAAACATTTGGTTTTTTATTTATGACTTTTTGATAATAGCATCCTAATGGTCTCATAGACCTCTTTGCCATATTTATATATTCTTTAGAGAAATGTTTATTCTTTGCCCACTTTCAAATAAAGTTATTTGTCTTCTACTATTGAGTTCTTCAACACTTTTTTTTTTTTTTTTGGACAGGCAGAGCTGGACAGTGAGAGAGAGAGACAGAGAGAAAGGCTTTCCTTCCATTGGTTTATCCCCTAAATGGCCGCCAATCCAAAGCCAGGAGCCAGGTGCTTCCTCCTGGTCTCCCATGCGGGTGCAGGGCCCAAGGACTTGGGCCATCCTCCACTGCCTTCCCGGGCCACAGCAGAATACTGGACTGGAAGAGGAGCAACTGGGACAGAATCCAGTTTCCCAGCCGGGACTAGAACCCAGGGTGCCAGCACTGCAGGCGGAGGATTAGCCTAGTGAGCCATGGGGCTGGCCTGAGTTCTTCAACACTCTTTGATATTAACTCTATCAGATAGAGATTTGCAAACATTTTCCTGAATCTATAGGTTTCCATTTCATTTTATTGTTTCCTTGGCTGCATGGAGGACTTTTAGTTCAGTGTAGTTCAGTGTATTTATTTGCACTTTTGTGGCCTGAAATTCTGGTGCTATATCCAAAAATATAATTGCCAAAGCTAGTGTTCAGAGATTGTCCCATTATGATCTATCCTAGGAATATTATATTTGTAGGTCTTACAATGAAGTCTTTTGTCTATTTTGAGTTAAATTTTGCTTGTGGTACAAGGTGAGATTCCAGGTGTATTCTTCTGTATTTGGAAATCCAATTCACCCACCTGTGGGCAGCCACAGGTAGTCACTCCCTTTGATTACACTTAAACATATGAATGGAGACTTCCTGGCACAGACAATTAGGCTAGGGGAGATTCCGGGAAGAGGCAGGAGGAACCTAAACCTTTCACAAGAGATGATACAAATAATCAGTCACACCTGTAACCTGCATTTATCACCTAAGTGTTTTTATTGTAACCTTAAGAGCCGTTTTGATATGTAAATCTTTTGTGCTCCTTCTTGTAAACAACTGGTCATGTTTAAATACTACTGGATTTATTCAATAAACGAGCCTTGATCAGGACTTGTCTTGGCTCCATTCTTTGCGTCCTTGTCCCCGCATTCCCACTCTCTGTTTCAGGAAGACCCAGTTCATTGTGCCGCAGGCCGGCACACCCACCACCATTTATTAAAGAGGCCACCATTTCCCCATTGTTTCCTCTTGGTACCCTTGACAAAAATTAGTTGAGCCTATACACATATGTTTAGATTTATTTCTGGGTTCTCTATTCTGTTTCATTGGTCTAATTGCCAGTTTGTATGCCAGTACCATAGCATTTTGATTACTATATCTTTATTATAATTTTATTTAAAAAATTTTTATTAATATGAAGAGATCAGATTTTATGCCTTCCATAGGTACAGTTCCAAGAAAACAACCACACCTCCCTCACTCCCCTGCTCCCCACAACTGCTTAGCTCTCTTGCCTTTCTTCATCAGTTTTTGCAAAGACATATTTTTAATCCACTCTATAGTCACAGGTTTAATTCACAACCAATCATAAATTTCAACAAGTAAAAAATAGGAAGACCACAGTTTCACATCCAAATAAAGGAAGCACATAAACTCCTTAGACCTGGATGGCTGGGCAATCACTATGATTTCAGAGGATCAGAGCTCCCTGACTGCCTGGGGTAGGTCATTGCCAATTAACTTTGTGCAGTTACTATGCCTGCATAGGTGGGAGTTGTAACCATCGTGGGCTAACCCGACATTGATGATCTTGGAAGAGAGGAGGTGAGATTGTGATTACAACAAGTGTGAACATACCTCCCTGATGCTGACAATGGAAGAGATCAGCCACGCCCAACTTGGATGCCCCCCTGGATTTTTGCCCCACCCTTGAACACTAGGCACACCCAACACATGGCTCTGGATATCCATTGAAAGAGCAGACACTCACTAAGCCAGAGAGCCATAGTTCAAAGATAAAATGCATAGAGGATGGGAGAGGAAGTGGGAGAAGGGATGGCTGCAGTTGGGAGGGAGGTTATGGGGGAAAAGGCCACAACAATGAAAAAGTTGTACTTTGTAAATTTACATGTATTAAAAAATTAATAAAATAAAATAGCTTACTAAGAGCTCTTAAAAAAAAAACCAATAAGTACTTCCACAAGTGCAAAAAATAAATGCAGAAATACAAGAATCAAGAACAGGGAAGACAACGTGATTCCCCAAAAGGAACACACTTCAATATCAGAATGTGAAGACGAAGATATTGATGGAATGCCTGGAAATGAATTCAAAGAATGATCATATAATTACTCAGAAATGCAGAGAAAAAAATTCATGAGATAAAGAAACCCATACACTAATTGGAAGAAAAATTTTGCTGAGACTAAGATATTGAATAGAACTGAAATATTAGAAATGAGGAATTAATATGCCAAATACAAAATACAGTGGAAAGCCTCAACCACAGACTTGGGAAGACAGAAAAAATAAAACCTGAGCTAGAAGACAAATCCTGGGAAATCTCAGTCAGACAAAAAAAAAAAGAAAAAACTTAAAATAGTGGTCATGATTTATGGTATACTATCAAACAACCAAACATATGTGTCATAGCAGTTGCTAAAGGCATGGAAACAGAAAACGGTCTAGAAGGTCTATTCAGAGAAATGGTAGCAGAAAAGTTCCCTACTTTGGAGAAGGAAAAGGAAAAAATCAGAGAAGATCTTCACCCGACATATTATAGCCAACTTTCAACAGTAAAGCATAAAGAAAAGATTCTAATATGTGCACTAGAGAAATAGTTTCTTTTGTTGTTTTGTGGTTGAGGCTTACATAAACTATCACCTCTTTTCCAATAATTCTGCTCTATCTCAATTTCTTACAATTATCTCACAAGAACAATTTCTTAAAACATTAACATAGATGTTTTTCTATGCTTTAACATATTTTCATGCCATGTTGTAATTTATATCCTTATCTTTGTTTTCCTCCAGACTGTGAGCTTCCTGGGGGCAGAGATTATCATTAATGATATGTCTCTGTTTCCCCTGGATTAATACTATTGACAGGGACATTATAGCACACAGAAAAAAAAAAAAAAAAAGATCACAGCATCACCTTTATTATACTTCTAGCAACTTACCTGCTCTTGAGGACAGACAATCACTGTATTAAAATCAGGCCACTTGTCCACCAAGGCCTTTAGATTGAATGGGTTTCCATGATACATGTGGAAGATAGTTCCATAAGCCTATGGAATTTAAAAAAAGTGGGAGGATTAGCACATTATGCAGGGACTATAAAACACCTTGTGTTTGACCAGGCTTACATCTGTGAAATTAGGGCAAATAGCTGATAGATTGTAGAGTCCTCAAATTGTCCTCAGATTCTATTTTATTACATCAAATGGAAATAGGTTTTTGGATCAAACCACGAGAGTATTACACAAATAAAGTTCATAATTCCTATAAATGAAATGAACAAATTAAAAGCATCACATAAGGCCGGCGCCACGGCTCACTAGGCTAATCCTCCGCCTACGGCGCCGGCACACCGGGTTCTAGTCCCGGTCGGGGTGCCGGATTCTGTCCCGGTTGCCCCTCTTCCAGGCCAGCTCTCTGCTGTGGCCTGGGAGTGCAGTGGAGGCTGGCAGCGTGCCAGCCGCAGCGGCCATTGGAGGGTGAACCAACGGCAAAGGAAGAGCTTTCTCTCTCTCTCACTGTCCACTCTGCCTGTAAAAAAAAAAAAAAAATCACATAGTACTCTATAAATATGTACAATTTAATGAATCAGTTGAAAGAAGAAAACAAATGATCCACTCTTACATTGTATAACTTAGTATGTCTTCCCATTACTTCCATTTATTTACATATACACCCAATTCTATAAACAATGAGATTACCTAAAATATGTTATTTAACATCTACCTTTTTTTTTTTTTTTGACAGGCAGAGTGGACAGTGAGAGAGAGAGACAGAGAGAAAGGTCTTCTTTTGCCGTTGGTTCACCCTCCAATGGCCGCCGCGGCCAGCGCGCTGCGGCTGGCGCACCGAGCTGATCCGATGGCAGGAGCCAGGAGCCAGGTGCTTTTCCTGGTCTCCCATGGGGTGCAGGGCCCAAGCACTTGGGCCATCCTCCACTGCACTCCCTGGCCACAGCAGAGGGCTGGCCTGGAAGAGGGGCAACCGGGACAGAATCCGGCGCCCCGACCGGGACTAGAACCTGGTGTGCTGGCACCACTAGGAGGAGGATTAGCCTAGTGAGCCGCGGCGCCGGCTAACATCTACCTTTTCTCACACACACTTTGGGCATAGTTCTATGTCTATATAATCATGCTTAATGATTACATAATATTAATTATGTTAACGTATTCTGACTCAATTTTCTACCTTCAATTGTTTGTCATTTCTATTTTGTCTAACATTTAGTTTAGGTTACTTTTTCAAAGAGCATTTTTGGTATACATCTTTGTAGCTATGTGTGGGGAGCAACTGGGAGCAACTCGGACTAGACTAAGTTACTGGAATTAAGACTTATTCTATGCATCTGCTCTCCCACAATATGGCGCTGGGAGAGGAGGAAACAGCTTCTACACAGCTGCCTCCAGTTCAACCAATAAACAGCAGGACCTGCTCCTGATTGGAGGAGAGCAGCGTACTCGGCGTGTGGGTAGCAGAGTTGGGATTGGTGGAAGAGGACTATAAAGGAGGAGAGAGACAACATGCACAAGGAACACCTGAGGAACATCTGAGCAGCCCCCAAGAGAGCCAGCCGGCGGTGTGCCGCTCCCCAGCGGAAGTGGGGAAAGTGGCTAGGGGGAACCGCCCTTCCACGGAGGTGGAAGGGTCAGTAGCCAACCCGGGGAAAACCAGCAGCAAACCCGGGGAGGGCCGAGCAGACAAAAGAACAGCGCAGGGTTTAGTGTCGTTCCTCCACGAAGACGGGGAGCGACATAATGGTGCCGTGACTCGGATATGAAGCCTAGGCAGGGTTTAGTGTCGTTCCCCCGTGAAGAGGGGGAGCGACAGCTATGCCTGTTGTTCCAAATTTTAGATGAAGAATTTTAGAAGAATTCTGGACCAAAGGTCAGTATGTATTTATCCAGATTACCTTCTGGAAAGGTTGTATCAGATCTTGTCTATCTTTTTTTGTTTTGTTTTGTTTTGTTTTGTTTTTTTATCTTTTATTTAATGAATATAAATTTCCAAAGTACGACTCATGGATTACAATGGCTTCCCCCCCCATACCGTCCCTCCCACCCACAACCCTCCCCTTTCCCACTCCCTCTCCCCTTCCATTCACATCAAGATTCATTTTCGATTATCTTAATATGCAGAAGATCAGCTTAGTATACATTAAGTAAGGATTTCAACAGTTTGCTCCCACACAGAAACATAAAGTGAAAAATAATAGATGATTTTTTTTAAATGATGATGAAATCAGATCAGACCTATTGTCATGTTTTTTTTTATCTTTTATTTAATGAATATAAATTTCCAAAGTACGACTCATGGGTTACAATGGCTTCCCCCCCCATACCGTCCCTCCCACCCACAACCCTCCCCTTTCCCACTCCCTCTCCCCTTCCATTCACATCAAGATTCATTTTCAATTATCTTAATATACAGAAGATCAGCTTAGTATACCTTAAGTAAGGATTTCAACAGTTTGCTCCCACACAGAAACATAAAGTGAAAAATAATAGATGATTTTTTTAAATGATGATGAAATCAGATCAGACCTATTGTCATGTTTAATCCCAGTGAGAGTCAAGTTGGGAATTGATAATTTCTTTTTTTTTTTTTTTTTTTTTTTACAGAAGATCAGTTTAGTGTACATTAAGTAAAGATTTCAACCGTTTGCACCCCCATAGAAACACAAAGTGAAATATACTGTTTGAGTACTCGTTATAGCATTAAGCCTCAATGTACAGCACATTAAGCCTCAATGTACAGCACATTAAGGACAGAGATCCTACATGAGGAGTAAGTGCACAGTGACTCCTGTTGTTGACTTTACAAATTGACACTCCTGTCTATGGCATCAGTAATCTCCCTATGCACCAGTCATGAGTTTCCAAGGCTATGGAAGCCCCTTGAGATCTCCGACTCTTATCTTGTTTAGACACGGTCATAGTCAAAGTGGAGGTTCTCTCCTCCCTTCAGAGAAAGACACCTCCCTCTTTGAAGACCTGTTCTTTCCACTGGGAAGATCTTGTCTATCTAAAAACTAGAGAGAACATAGTATTCAAGTTATAAGTCTGATGATGAAAGTCCTTTGTGGGTTGATGAAATATTTATGAAATGTTTGTTAATCTCTTATCAGGCATGTTATTATTTAGGAAGAACAAATTAAACATTAATGTGTAAGTTTAGTTAATTTTGCAACTCTGAAAAAATGTTCACTGTTATAAAACATAATTGATGGAAGGACACAGGAAATGTTTTCTAAGTTATCACACAGCAAAGAACATACTGTATTCAAATGTTAGCATTGCTACTCACTCTTGGTGTGATGCTAGTCAAGTCACATAAAAGCTTTCATTTATCCCTTAGTTGCAAGGTTATAATATACCCACCTTGCATCAAGGCAATGAAAACTAAACGCCATATGACAAAAGTGAGTGCCTGCACAGATGCCAAGTGGATGCTACCATCGCCTTTCCACTCTTCTGTGCAGCTGCTGGGCCTTTTTCTCCCCCAAAATGCTGCATTCTTACCTTTAGGGACTCAGGAAGGCTCTTCCTCAAGGACTTTTCTAGCATCTGCAGCAACTGTGGTTTCTGCAAATGGATCATCTTGGCAGGTACCTTAGGTTAAAGAGAGGATCAAGATATCAAAGAATAAGAGCAACCGGAAGACATTTGGATAGTTCGTTGTTTTAGCCACTAGCCTAGCCTCCATTTCTGGTGGTTCACTGGTTCCCCATTAACTAAATTTCCAAATTTTTCACTACTTCCAACAAAACTTAAGACTGGTTTAAGCGCAAGTGCTTTCCTCTGAAATTATTTTTCATATAATTTTTTAACTTTTTAAAATATTTCTATACTTTTTTATTATTTATTTATGATTCACCTCAAGATGGCCACAAAAGCCAGGACTTGGCCAAGCAGAGCCAGGAACCAAGAGCTTCATCTGTGTCTCCCATTTGCGTGGAAGAGGCCCAAGCACTTGGGCCATCTTCTGCTGCTTTTCCCAGGCCGTTAGCAGGGAGCTGGATCAGATGTAGAGCATTACTATGTGCCATGGATTTGAAACAAAGTAAGAAGGATTAAATGGGAGTAATACATGTAATGTGGTATACCGCAAATGAGAACTCTAAGTCTTTGGCCTAATGCCTAGCTTTAGTAACATTCTATATGTGTCAGTAATTTTTTAACAGTTGCCAGCAGGCCAGTGCCGCGGCTCAATAGGCTAATCCTCTGCCTGCAGTACTGGCACACCAGGTTCTAGTCTCGGTGGTCGGGGCGCCGGATTCTGTCCCGGTTGCCCCTCTTCCAGGCCAGCTCTCTGCTGTGGCCAGGGAGTGCAGTGGAGGATGGCCCAAGTGCTTGGGCCCTGCACCCCATGGGAGACCAGGAGAAGCACCTGGCTCCTGCCTTCTGATCAGCGCCGTGCGCCAGCTGCAGCGGCCATTGGAGGGTGAACCAATGGCAAAGGAAGTTCTTTCTCTCTGTCTCTCTCCCTGTCCACTCTGCCTGTCAAAAAAACAAAACAAAACAAAACAAAACAAAACAAAAAAAGCAATTACCGGCATTACAAGCAAAGCATATATTTTATTGTTGCTAGGGCCAAAAACAAAACAAAAACAGAAAATTATTTTCCTGTGAGTCCCCATATTAGGAACCTAACAATGATGCAGTGCAGTATTTCCAAGCTTGAGTATGTGTAATGGAAACCTGAGAATTGAAGAAAATGAGGAAAGTTAAGGAAATGCAGGCTTTTATATGACTTGACCAGATGCACATCAATAGTGAGTAGCAATTGTGATATTTGAATCCTGTATGGCCTTTGATGGCAGGGACCAATCACCGAAGACATCACCTGCTGCCTCCTAAGCAGCAGGAAGCTGGATCTGAGAGCAGAGGTAGGACTCAAACACAGGCACTCTGAAATGGGATACAGGCATCCAAACCAGGGATTTAATCACTACCAAACATCTGTCCCATACATTTTTGAGACTAGTTTTCATTCAGAAGATCCATGTTATTTCTATGTGTCATTCATTTTAATTATTGACTATTGTTACATGGCACAGATATATCAGAGACTGTTTACTCATTGCCAGTTGAATGACACTTGGTTATTTCTAGATTTGGTGATTATGAACAAAATTGCCACCAAAAAATCCACAGACAAATCTTTGCGTGCCTGTATGCTTTTTTTTTTTATTTTATTTTTATTTTTTATTTATTTATTTTTTTTGACAGGCAGAGTGGACAGTGAGAGAGAGAGACAGAGAGAAAGGTCTTCCTTTGCCGTTGGTTCACCCTCCAATGGCCGCCACGGCCGGCGCGCTGTGGCCGGCGCACCGCGCTCATCCGATGGCAGGAGCCAGGAGTCAGGTGCTTTTCCTGGTCTCCCATGGGGTGCAGGGCCCAAGCACCTGGGCCATCCTCCACTGCACTCCCTGGCCACAGCAGAGGGCTGGCCTGGAAGAGGGGCAACCGGGACAGAATCCGGCGCCCCGACCGGGACTAGAACCCAGTGTGCCGGCGCCGCTAGGCGGAGGATTAGCCTAGTGAGCCGCGGCGCCGGCCTGCGTGCCTGTATGCTTTTAATAATATTGAAGCACATTTCCAGAGTCATACGCTAACTCTATGTTTAACTTTATAAGAAACTGTCTGTTCTACATTCTCATTGTATTGTATGAGAGTTCCATTTGCTCCACATTATCTCCAACACAGGTACAGATAATTCTTCTCATGCAGCCATAGTCAAGAATCATTGAGAGAGATCAGGCGAATTCTCCAAAAGTACCTTTCCAATTTGTGTGGCAAGAATATTCATAAAGCTACTTTGCAAAACAAAAGGCTAAGGACAAAGTGTTTTCCATTAGATGCAATTCTCTGAAGAATTCATGGTGCTGAACTGAACTTAACCCAAGGCCTGTGACTCTGGGAAACAAAGAGGTTAGAGAAATCCCTCCAGCCCCTCTCTGAAGTGGCCTACTGCAAGGACCCCACCCTCCTCACATGACTTTGATAGGACTCACACGTGTTCTTTTTTATTTACGACAAGGTCAAAGAATGAGATTCTCCAAATTCCCACTCTTTGTCTCGTAGAGTAGTCCTCTCCTGCCCCTCCCGAAGGCTGAGTCAGCATTAATCTCTGCTCAGTAACCACTACCAGGAAAATTAGAATTTCAGGTAAAAGATTTTTTGGTCTATTATTATCAATATCATCATCCTGTCATCCCACCTCCTCCGCACTGTGTTCTCTCCATCCCTGCTTCTTCACTCTAGAATGGTTAACTCACTGTTCATCCTCATTGACCCATTGGAACAAAGTGCTTGTTAGCCAACCTGCTTAAACTTTAGTTACCTTTTCTCCTCCCCCTTAGGACTCGGGACTTTGGCTCATTTTCATCCTTGGCTAAAACTGGCATGCAGAAAGATTTTCTTTTCTATAAAGAAAAACACTGCATACACTTGCTTACCTCCCCCAATAAAAGAACAGATCTTATCTTCCCAACCTTTCAGATACCTCTCTATTAATCTAAAAGTTGTCCATATTGAAATTCTCCTTCTTCCTGTTACTTTTCTAACTCTTCCAAGACTTCTGAATGAAATTTCTCATGACCTAAGACTGGGTTTCCTTTATTTAAAAATAAACTGATACAGTTTCATTATTAAATTCACTTTTATAGTTAGTGTAGAAACCAAGCATCAATCTTCATTCATTCATCCATCCACTCAATCTTGCATTCAGTAAATCGTGATTGAGAACTTGCTGCAGTGACTTTGTAAGGTGTCACCTTGGTTAGCCTGAACAACATTTCCTGGAATTCTTTTGCCTGCAGGTTTCCTGTTATGGGTGAGCCTCAAGAGTGATTGCTTTGGGAGGTTTGGGGGAGGGGAGAATTGAAATAGCAGCTATGTTTGCAGCTCACCTGTTTCTCTTTTGCCTGGCCACTTGTATTGTTCAAACTCACAATAGAGGAATGTATGAAGACACTCATTCGACCAAGGCCAGAGTCAGCAGGGATGGGCATGGTTTCAATTTATCTCTGTTTGCTCTTTCCCACTTTAATTCCATCTTTCCTTCCCCACCATTTCCCTTGTATATTTTGATCTCCAGAATCAGATAAGAAGAAATAACCTTCTAGAAACTGCTGAAGTAGAATACGTAATTGTATAAGATTGGATTCCTATTACAGCTCTCTTGCTTCTGCATCTCTGTTAGGAACTCCGCTGATGCACTTTCCCTGAACAACTCTCTGAGGAATTGTGAGCTCAGAATAAGCTATCATCAACATATTAATAAAGCAAATTCATAAATCTGATAACTAGTAAATATCACACAGAAAGGACTACATGTTTTATATATATTTGCAAAACGGTGCTGTAGATTTTATGAAATTTCAAAGGAGCCTTTTTGGTATGAGACATTTTCATGTGGTCTAAAATATATCATGGGGTGGATATTTGGTACAGTTGTTAAGATGCCTTGGGACACCACATCCTATGTCAGAATGCCTGGATACAAGTTGAGCTCTGCTTCCAATTTTAGCTTCCTGCTATATCTCATACCCTCAGAGAGAGCAAACAATGGCCTGTGTACTTGAGTCCCTGCCACCCACAAGAGAGAAACAGATTGGCTTCCAGACTCCCAGCTTTGGCCTAGTCCAGCCCTGTTGCAGGCAGGGAGTGAACCAATAGATACATTTCTCTCTCTCTCTCCTCCTTCTTCTTCTCCCTCTCTCTCTCCCTCCTTCCTTTCCTCCCTCCACATTTCTTTGCCTTTCCAAATGGAATGCTGACATCTCAGGAGGAGGCTTGACCTACTATGCTACAATGCCAGTCCCAATAAAATAAATTTTTCTGGGGGCAATGTCTGTGATGTCCACTTCCTCATATGGGCACCTTATAGGCATGTCCTGGCTACTCCACTTCCAATCCAGCTCCCTGCTAATAGCCTAGGAAAAGCAGAGGAAGTTGGCTCAAGGGTTTGAGCTCTGGATGAAGCTCCTGGCTCCTAGTTTTGACCTGGCCCAGCACTAGCCATTGTAGCCATCTAGGGAGTGTACCAGTGCATGGAAAATTCTCTCTCTCTCTCTCTCTCTCTCTCTCTCTCTCTCTCTCTCCCTCCCTCTCTCTCTCTCTTTCTCCCTTTCCTTCTCTCTGTAACCGTGACTTTCAAAATAAATATTTTAAAAAGATTGCATTTTTTACTCATTTTATCAAATTGGAATTATCAGAAGAATTGGTGGACTAAATACAGTGGCAAGGGTTCTGCCTGAGCTCTATGAGATTTCACAAGAGGGAGGTGTTACTTCTATGTGGAGGCTTACAGGTTCCTAAAGAAAGCTGGAATAGAACTGGTCATGGAAGAGACAATGGTGTTAAGGGATAGAAGACCTGCCACACCCCTGGTGGTGAACACTGTCTGACTCTTTGTATTAGAAACTGTGGAGAAAAGTCTTATTGCTAGACTTGATGCGACAGAAACTTCAGATTTGAAATATTCTGTCTACATCAGGAGCAAGTCACTATTGTCCAAACTGAATTACCTCTCTTCTACTTCCTGCTTCCCTAAGTGTTTCCTGATCATATGCTGATGATTGTTTAAATGATACCTGGCCTGTCTTCAGTGTCCGTGAGCTTGGCTGATCAATATTGAGGCACCAACTTCAGCAGAGTCTCTAGTCACTTTGGCTTCCCAATTCTCTAGTCACTGTGTTCAGAGCCTTCTGCTCTTTAGTTTGACCATTTCCAACACTGATAGTTTAGAATGATCATTAGATTCTGTGCTTGGAGAATTTGTGCTGAAATTTGTTTTTATTGGCTTGTTATCAAAAATCCCACTAGACTTTTTGATCTTGTTGTTTCAACGTGTTGAGGAATGCTTGGTCTAATAACTGCTTTGAGTTTTCCATGTGTTTACCCTAGATCGGGCTTGTTTTGTTTCATTTTGTTTTGTTTTTGTCATCAGTCTCCAGGTAACACTATGCCTTTCACGTGACCCTTATTTTCCTTTATGGTTTAAGAGGCGAAAAGTGTCCATCATAACTACTGAGGCAGCTGTGTTGTATCCTGATGGTAGCCGCAAGGGGCAGCATCTTTACTTGTGGAGATTCACTTGGTTTCTGTAAATTGCTTTCTTTAAAAATCATCAGAGGGGCCTGCTCTATGGCATAGCAGGTAAAGCTGCCACCTGCAGTGTAGGCATCCCATGTGGGCACTCGTTCGAGACCCAGCTGCTCCTCTTCTGATCCAGTTCTCTGCCATGGTCTGAGAAAGCTGTGGAAGATGGTCCAAGTGCTTGGACCCCTGCACCCACGTGGAAGAACTAGAAGAAGTTCCTGACTCTTGGTTTTGGATTGGCCCAGCTCCAGCCATTGCAGCCATCTGGGGAATGAACTAGCAGATGGAAGATTTCCCTCTGCCTCTGCCTCTCTATAACTCTGCCTTTAAAATAAAAAAAAATAATCTTTTTAAAAAATCATCAGAGTCTGGTATATTAGTCTCAACTGTTCCTCTTCCACGGAACACCCCTTCAGCACAGCATCTGCTGTAACACCTTTGGCTTTTCTTTATTTTAGGTACACTCTACTGATACACTATCTTCAAAATTCAGTTTTGATTGTTTTGTCGAAGTTCTACTGGAATGTCAGTTTTTCCCCATCTGTTCCCTCTATTGTCCCTCAATCCAAGATAATAAGGCATTCTTGCTTTCCTGCACTCCCCTAGAATTATGTACATACTTCAATCACATAATTTGCTACAGTAGATTACACTTTGCCCTCTGTGCAGGTCCGCTAGTTATGTATCCATTTATTCCCACACTGTGTCACATTTAAAAACTCAATAAATGTCTGTTTAATGCTTGCATGCATGAGGTCTTTGAATAGAAATAAAGATTTATTTAGTCATGTCACTCAAACACAAAAAAGGTTTATGCATTCACACACGTCAGCTATGGTCTGAATGGTGGTGTCCCCCAAAATTCATATGTTGAAATCATAATCCCCGAGGTGATAATACCAAGCCTTTTGGGATCAGATCATGAGGGCCTTTTTTTAAATAAATAATTATTTTATTTATTTGAAAGACAGAGTTATAAAGAGAAGTAGAGCCAGAGAAAGAGAGGTCTTCCATTCTGCTGGTTCACTCCCCAAATGACCACAATGGCCAGAGCTGAGCTGATCCAAAGCCAGGAGCCAGGATCTCTCTCTGGGTCTCCCATGAGGGTGTAGGGGCCCAAGGACTTGGGCCATCTTCTACTGCTTTCCCAGGCCATAGCAGAGAGCTGGATCGGAAGTGGAGTAGCCGGGACTCAAACCGGTGCCCAAATGGGATGCTGGCGTTGCAGGCTGCGACTTTAACCCACTACGCCACTGCACCAGCCCCCTATGCGGGCCTTTTCCACAGGTGAGGACACAGCAGGAAATAACCATCTCTAATTAGGAGATGGGTCCTCACCAGACAACGACTCTGCCAATGTCTTCATTGGACTTCTTAGCCCCCAAGAACTGTCAGAAATAAATTTCTGTTTTTGATAAGCCACCCAGTGTGCGGGGTTTTGTTATAGCACACTGGATGAATGAAAACAAAATACCTACTGAAAGTCAGCTATATAGTGCATATGGGAATTTGTATCAGATACTTCTTTGAAAAAAATCTCCAGACCACACTAGAAGCACCTGTGCTAAGTCTCGGAAGCCTCAAGACGTAGCAGTGTAACATAGCTGACGGCTATTTTAAAATTTTGGCTAGAAGTGTCTCAGGAGATTCCACAAAAATGAAAAGCAAAGTTGAGTTTGCTGCCAGATTACTAGGGATGATGTACTATTACTAAATTGCCAAGTATATTTGGGACAACGTTCTACATATATATACTCACATCCTAAACATCCAAATATGATGTTTGGTCAATGTAGCTACCTAAAAACTGAGGAGACTCAGGAAACTGGCACACTCGAGCAGGTTGCCAGCATGGACAAGGGGCAAAGTCCTACAAACGGCACTTTGAAATCTTTGGCACAACCAAGCCAGTCCTTGAAATTTATTCAAAGAAAAAAATCTAATGAATAACAATGCCCTATGAAAATTTTGTGACAATACACATGGAACTTGATGACATTGTGTTAAGTGAAAATCCAGGCACAGGAAGATAACATTGCATGATCTCACTCATATGTGATCTCACTAGAGTTGATCCCATAGAACCTGAGTGAGGAATAGTGGTTACCAGAGACTGGGTAGAACAGGGGAAAATGAAAGAATGGAGAAAAGTTGGCTAATGAGTACTACAGCTTCAATGTAAATGGAGAAGGTCTGGTGTCTCATTGCTCATTAGGATGACTATAGATAACAATAATTCTTGTTTTAAAAAATCTAAAACAAAAGATTTTGAGTGTTTTCACCACAAAGAAATGATAAATGTTGGAGGGGATAAATATGCTTCCCCTGATTCAAACATTGCACATTGTACTCATATGCAAAGTATCACATGATAAATCATAAATCTGTATAATTTCATGCAAATTTAAAACTAAAAATAAGATTAAAACATTGTATAAAGAAATATTAATTCATAGGAGAGTACTGAGCATAATCTCATTGTCTCCCTATAAAGATAACTTACATAAATGATGACAAACACCATTTTATTATTCTAACCCATAACATGAGTCAAAGTAATAGCAAAGGTTGTACATAAGTTTAAATTAGATATATAGTCTTTAGTGTGCACTTCTATGAGAGTAGTTAAAAAACTCATGCAAAATTGAATGGGCATTGTGGCTTGGAGGGTTACCCTGCTGCTTGGGGGTCCTGGCTGCTCTGCTTCCTATTCAGTTCCTTGCTCATGCACCTAGGAGTCTGCATATGATGTCTCAAATACTTGAGTCCCTGCCACCCATGTTGGAGACCTGATTCTTGTCCTCTGGCTTCAGCCTGGAGGAGCCCTGGATGTTGAGGCCATGTGAGGAATGAAAAGTAGATGGGGTCTTTCTCTCTCTTTCTGTTACTCTTTTTCAAGAAATACATTTTAATAAATAAATAAACCTTAAAAGCCAGTAGTTCTGAGTTTTTTTAAAAAGTTATCTATATATCTATTTGAAATGCAAAGTTAGAGTTTATTTCAGTGTGTAAATATGTTGAGAATTATGTAGTTTTTTAATAATACATATCTTCTGTGAAGTTTTGAAGAACTCAATGTATGTGTATAGATGATATAGATAAAATTCTAGAAACAAGAATTATAGTATCATTACAGAAAAGATTTCTTAAATCAATCTGTTTCTTATTTAAATTAACAATTAATCTCCTGTATATTCTATCCCCTGTACTAGAACCTACCCACTCCATATGTGACTTTCAGTGAGGCACTAAACTTTCTTGGACACCAGTTATCCAATGAAAGCCTACTACTGTAGAATGTGACCAGAGGATTACAGGAGATAATGTTTGCATAGAACGTGCACACATTGTGCCAAACAAGTGTCACTCAACCAGCACACTCCTTTTCAGGATGACATTTCTGTCACCCATCTACCAATAGTCAGCTCCCAAGCCTCTCCATATTTATTTATCTTTCCTGAACAAAATTCACTTTGTCTAGTCAAGAATATCTCACAGGGGCCAGCGCTGTGGCGCAGTGGGTTAAAGCCCAGACTGCAGTGACAGCATCCCATATGGGTGCCAGTTGGAGTCCCGGCTGCTCCACTTCTGATCCAGCTCTCTGCTATGACCTAGGAAAGCAGTGGAAGATGGCCCAAGTCCTTGGGCTCCTGCACCCACATGGGAGACCCAGAAGAAGCTCCTGGCTCCTGGCTTCAGATCAGCTCAGCTCTGGCCATTGAGGTCATTTGGGGAGTGAACCAGTGGAATGGAAGACCTCTCTCTTTCTGACTCTACCTCTCTCTGTAACAATGTCTTTCAATGAAATAAAATAATCCTTTAAAAAAAAAAAAAACAGAATATCTCACAGATCTAGCATACTATTCTGTATACAGTAGGTACCTGATAAAAGTATACAGTAGGTGCCTGATAAAGAAGAGTTTCCCTTTACTCAGCATAATTCTTAGCAAATGTGAACTCAATAATTCTTATCCACATCCTAAAGGAACATTTTGATTCATTCCACTTCAATGGAGGAAGCAAAAGGAGATAAGAGGTCCCAGAATATCAGTTCTCCTCTGGTCTCACCTGCAAAGCTGTCTTCTCATTCAGTCTCTGCACAGGTCCCTAGGAAAACACAGGAGGAGGCAGCGAACTTCTGCAGAAAATGAACTACGTCAGTAGGTACAGTGATCTTGAAGGGTGTACTTTGATCCGTGCTCTCCAGAAATCGCTGAGCTTAATAGAACACACGCACTAAGCTGCGCAGCCTTTGGACAGCAGGGGGCGCGCTCAGGCCTCTCCCCTCATCCCCTCTTCAGGGCGGTGGTTCCATCACGTTGACTGACGGGTCTGCAGTAGGCAGTCTCAGGCTATTTTTCCAACAAATTGAACCTCTCTGCTCTTAGTGGCCCTACCCTTACTCAGCAACTCTGATCTTGGAAACCAGCTGGCAAAGAACTGGGGGAAGGATTGGTCTTTGTAAGTAACACCCTTTTTATCCTCTCTTTTACCAAGTAACTGTAGCAAATAATAATAATTAATTAATTAATTAATTTTTTAAGAAGCCGTTAAGTTTTAAATTTGATGTTTAACCAGAGTGCTCTTCTTAATCATCATAAACAAAAACCTAGTTAGAGACAAAGGATTTTGGATCCTACCTTTTTAGAATACACTCAGCTCTTTCTCTCCATCTCCTGCTCTCTCTCCCTCTCTCTGTCTCTTTTCTCTCCATCTTTCTCTGGGGATCTCTCTCTTACGCTCTGCATCTCCTCTTTTCTTTCTTTGCCCCTTCCCTCCATTCTGTCGGGTTTCCCCCAATAAACCCTTTCCCTCACAACAACAGCAACAAAAAGTACTCAGTGGATTCCAACCAGGTTGCAAAGAAAATACAGTAATTTTTAAAACAACCAGAACAAAAACACATTACAGGGGCAGGAGTTCCACCTAATGGTTAAGTGGCCAGTGGAGACATTCGCATCCCATATCTGAATGCCTCAGTTTGATGCCCACTCCCAGCTCCCAATTCCAGCTTCCTACTAATTCAGACCCTATGAGGCAACAGTGATAGCTCAAGAAACTGAATTCCTGCCACCCACATTGGAAACCTGATTTGCATCCCCAGGTCCAGGCATGGCCCAACCTTGAACCAGCATATAGCAGTAAATTCTTTCTCTATGCTCACTGACCCAACCACCACCTTTCTTTTTTTTTTTCTTTTCTTTTCTTTCTTTCTTTCTTTCTTTCTTCTTTTTTTTTTTTTTTTTTTTTTTTTTTTGACAGGCAGAGTGGACAGTGAGAGAGAGAGACAGAGAGAACGGTCTTCCTTTTCCTTTGGTTCACCCCCAATGGCCACTGCAGCCAGCATGCTGCAGCCAGCACACCGCGTTGATCCGAAGCCAGGAGCCAGGTACTTCTCCTGGTCTCCGATGCGGGTGCAAGGCCCAAGCACTTGGGCCATCCTCCACTGCCTTCCTGGGCCACAGCAGAGAGCTGGACTGGAAGAGGAGCAACCGGGACCACCACCTTCAGCTCCCATCTCTCAAATAAATAAATTAATTTTGTCAAATATGCTTATGTAAGGGAAACAATAATACAAATAATGATTGATTTTCAGAATATTTATAATAAAGCTTTTCATTTCAAAATGGAAAAAATTGTAAACATTTGCAGATAAATAAGCACACTTGCCCTTCAATAAAAGAATTTTTGGAACTATACTTTTCTTCTATTTCTTGAAAACAACTGACCATTTCATTTAAGTATAATAACTATATTGTAAAATTATAGTTTAATATAGAAGTAATTTGTTTAATAGTAATACAGAGGGACAAGCAGAATTATATAGTTGCTAGATTCTTCTTTTTTATTTGACAAGTAGAGTAATAGACAGTGAGAGAGAGAGACAGAGAGAATGGTCTTCCTTCCGTTGGTTCACCCCCAAAAATGGCTGCTATGGACTGTGGGGCTCCATGGGATGCGCAGCCATGGAGCCCCCACGTCAAGGTCGGTCTGATAGCTGTTGCTGTGTCTTTATCACAAGGCGAATGTTGCTAGTTTCAGTTAGGGCAATGCTTTCCCACAGCCGGGACTTTCCAGAGGAGTTGAGAATGTTGTAAACAACAAGATGGCGCCAAGGACCGCGCGGTGAGCCTGCCTGCTGCGTGACACCTCATCTGATTGGCCCGAGAACGCGTGCACACTGCGTGAACAGACAGCGGATTGGAGTGTTCCGTGCATGGACTTGAGCCCGCTTGCAATTGGCCAGATTTTGTATATAAGCTATGTGCTGAGGAAGGAGGGGGCTTTCCTGTCCACTCTCCTCCTTTCATTCTTTCTCTGTCCCTGTTATTTTCCCATTAAAAGTCTGCTGAAGACCAATAAGCTGCGAACAGTGTCGTTCCTTTGCGGGCAAGGGAGCGGCAATGGACGGAGCTTCTTCCTGGTCTCCCATGTGGATGCAGGGGCCCAAGCACTCGGGTCATCCTCCACTGCCTTCTAGGATCACATCAGAGAGCTGGACTGGAAGAGGAGCAACCGGGACTAGGACCGGCACCCATATGAGATGCCGGCACCACAGGCAGAGGATTAACCAAGTGAGCCACAGCACCAGCCCCTGTTGCTAGATTCTTAAATGTTGTTTAACATTAATTCAAGGTAAAATATTATGTTAAGAATATGTATTGTAATAATTAGAGTAACCATTATATACAGAAATGAATATCTTTTAAAAATTTTTTTACCTTTTTATTATTATTCATTATTATAGGAAGAAAGAGACATAGATTTTTCCATTAGTTCACTTCCAAATGCCTAAAACTGTCATTGCCAGGCCTGGCTAAAAGCAAGAATTAGGAACTCAATCCATGTCTCCCCCATGGGTGGCAGGGATCCAAGTATTTGGACAATCAAGTGGTGCACATTAGCAGGAAGCTGGATTCAAAAGCAGAGCCAACCAGATACCAGGCACTCTGATATAAGATGCAGGGATCCCAAACCATCTTTTTTTATTTATTTATTTTTTTGACAGGTAGAGTGGACAGTGAGAGAGAGAGACAGAGAGAAAGGTCTTCCTTTGCCATTGGTTCACCCTCCAATGGCCGCCACGGCTGGCGCGCTGCGGCCGGAGCACAGCGCTGATCCGATGGCAGGAGCCAGGTACTTATCCTGGTCTCCCATGGGGTGCAGGGCCCAAGCACTTGGGCCATCCTCCAGTGCACTCCCTGGCCACAGCAGAGAGTTGGCCTGGAAGAGGGGCAACCGGGACAGAATCCGGCGCCCTGACCGGGACTAGAACCCGGTGTGCCGGCGCCGCAAGGCAGAGGATTAGCCTAGTGAGCCTCGGTGCCGGCCCCCAAACCATCTTAACCACTTGTACCAAGCACTCACCTCTGTTTTATATCAAGTGTCAAAACAAACTTGCAAGGAAGGCGTTTGGCACGAAGGTTAGGATGCCTCTTGGGATGCCTGTATCCCATATCAGAATGCCTGGATTCAAAACCTGGCTCTCTCCCCAGTTCCAGCTTCCTGCTAATGCACACCCTGGAAAACAGCAAGTGATAGCTCAAGTAGTTAGGCTCTCACTACCCACATAGGACACCTAGATTAAAACTCTTGGCGGCTGGCTCAGCCAAAAAATCAAAGGTGGGGAGAAATGGAGAGCAACTGAGTTCTTTAATTATATATCTTATCTCTTTCTTAGTTTTTCTTATTAGAATTTATGTCAAATTGTAATAATTTCAAAACAGCTTGGTATAAACAAAATATGTTTTCATAACCCTCATGGTAACCAAAAGCAAATATCTAAAATAACCTTGCTAAAAATTTTAAGAAAGAAATTAAAGCACATTACTAGAGAAAAAAATCACTTACGCACAAAGGAAAATTGAGAGAGAAAAAAAAATAAAGAACACAATAAAACTAGAGGGGCTGGTGCTGTGGTGCAGCAGGTTGGGGCCCTGGTCTGAGGTGCCGTCATCACATATGGGTGCTGGTTCTAGTCCCAGCTGCTCCTCTTCTGATCCAGCTCCCTACTATGGCCTGGGAAAGCAGTGGAGGATGGCCCAAGTGCTTGGGCTCCTATGCTCATGTGGGAGGCCCAGAGGAAGCTCCTGGCTCCTGGCTTCTGACTTTGGATGGGTGCAGCTCCGGCCATTGCGGCCATCTGGGGAGTGAACCAGTGGATGGAAGACCTCTCTCTCTGTCTGTACCTCTCTCTGTAATTCTGTCTTTCAAATAAATAAAATAAATCTTTAAAAAAAAAAACTAGAAAACAAGTATTAATATGACAGTAGTAAGACATTATCTTTCAAATATTGCCTTAATATTAAATGAATAAAATATTCCAATTAAAAAATTAGAATAAATGAATGGATAAAAAACAAGAGTCAAGAATATGCAGCTGACAAGAAACTCATCTCTGAGGATTACGTTTACTGAAAGAGGAAGAATAAAATCGAGAGTTCAAGCAAATGTAACCCAAAAGAAAGCTGGTATAGCCATGACTCTATAGGATAAATTAGATTTAAAATCAGAAACCGTAATGAGAGACAAAGAAGGTCATTGTAGGATGATAAATGGTTCACTCCAGCAAGAGGAAATAACAATTCTAAACATATGTAGCCGAGGCTGGTGCTGTGGCATAGCAGGCTAAACCTCCGCCTGTGGCTCTGGTATCCCATATGGGCACAGTTCATGTCCCAGCTGCTCCACTTCTGATCCAGCTCTCTGCTAATGTCCTGGGAAAGCAGCAGAAGATGGCCCAAGAGTTTGGGCTCCGGTATCCACATGGCTCCTAGCTATGGATAGGGCCAGCTCCAGCTGTTGTGGCCATTTGGGGAGTGAACCAGTGGATGGAAAACCTTTGTCTCTGTCTCTCCCTCTGTCTGTAATTTTACCTCTCAAATAAATAAATAAATAAATATAAAAAATATCTAATGTTGGAGTTTCCAAATATGTGAAGCATATTTTAATAGCTTAAGGGAGAGACGCACTCCCATACATTAATAGTAGGGGACTTAACTTAATAGAAGAGGACTTCACTTATATAAATGGACAAACAATACAGACAGAAAATCAATAAAGAAACAGCAGTAATTGGAAGTGATAAAAATCTATAGAATGCTACATCCAACTGTTGCAAAATGCATATTCTTCTCAATAACACATGGAATGTTCTCCAGGGGAAATCACATCACAGTTCACAAAACAAGTCTCAAAACATTTTTTAAATAGAAATC